GGCGGGGCGGCGGGGGGCACCAGGAATGTGTGCACTGAATATCCACTATGCGGTTGACTTGACAGGCCTTCGTCCACGTGTCGACCGCCTACGCCTACCCGCAGCAGAAGGTGGTCGAGGAGAAGTTCTACGAGCCGGAAGTGAGCCCGGACCGCCTGCTCAACATCGTCAACAGCATGGACGACGCCATGCTCGACGCCATCACACCACAGTACGTGTCGGGGAAAGGTGGAGGAGTCCCTCGAGTGGGACAGATTTCGACCCATCCCCTTTCCGGTATCCGCACCGCCAGAAATGGAGCGACACCGGAATTTTAGGCGATATCGCATAGATGTCGTTTTGATATCGCATGTCGTTTTTGTGCCCACTTTCGTGTGCGTGTGTCGCTAGCGACACGAAAAGCGACACAAATCGATATGCGATATCGAAACGATTTCGCCATTTCTGGAGGTGTCGTTTCGACGTCGTGTGTCTGCCCCTTTGACGTCGGACCGATATCGTTTTGACATCCTGCTTCTGAACAACGGCCTGTTTCTCTGGTTCTGCAGACTCATCACGACCTGGCCCAACACGTACGCCTTCACCAAGGCCGTCGGCGAGGCGGCCATCCGGCAGCACAGCAGAGGCCTGCCCGTGGTCATGGTCCGGCCCTCCATCGGTGAGTCCCCACCCCAGCGAGGAATAAATAAAACAAGTCGAAACGATATCGAGACGATCGAAGTGCCGTTGAAACGATACCGTTTCGATACCATGTTGACGTTTATTTATTCTGGCTAGGCCAAGTCGTCGTCGATACCCCGCCGGCGCTCACTGCCGCGCGGAGTATACGGCCGGCAGCCGATGTCGTCCTAATATCGTGCAAAACGTCACGTTAGTGTAATGCTAACTTAAAGCTCACGTCCGACTTACAGTTATCTCCACGGCCAAGGAGCCCATCTCGGGCTGGATCAACAACGTTTACGGGCCCACGGGGGTGGTGATGGGCGCGGGCGTCGGGCTCATCAAGGTGCTCCACTGCGACGGAGACCGCGTCGCGGACATGGTCCCCGTCGACATGGTCATCAACAACATCATCGCCGTGGCCTGGGACGTGGCCGTCTCCAAAGAGAACCAGCAGAATGAGGAGGTGAGTGAGAATGCGGGTATCTAAAAATTCCAATGAGAAATGCGATATCGAAACGATCGAAGAGCCTTCGAAACGATGTCATCTCGATATCGTTTTGACGGTCATTTCTCACTGGAAAATTATATCATGGCAAATTTAAAACAAAACAATGACGTCTATTTTTGTAAAAAAAATTTTTTTACGTATAGTCTAGGTTTCTTGAAAGGTATATAAAATGCCAAAAAATTGCTTATTTTTGAGGGAAGTCCCTCCTACTTTTCGGCTCCAGTTCACATCAAATGCTCTTACAGGTTAAAGCAGACGACACCGAGGCGGATCCCCCAGTTGTAAACTTCGTGTCATCGCCGGACAGCCCCATCACGTGGGGGAAGTTCATGGAGCTGTGCGCCAAGGGCGTCCAGATACCTTCGGTGCGCTGCATTTGGTACTACGACTTCCGGCTCATCAAGCACGTCCAGCTCTACACCCTGTACACAATGTTATTGCACCTCCTGCCAGCCATCCTGGTGGACACAGGCTGTCGGATTGTGGGGAAGAAGCCATTGTGAGTCGCCAGTTTGTGCAACATCATACTCTGTATGTTTTACACAATTTTAATGTTTTAAAATGTTAAATGTTTCTTTTCCAGCCTGTGGGATGCGTACAAGAAGATTCACAAGTTTGCAGCTGTTATTGCGCATTTTGCAACCAATGAGTGGACATTTAGAAATGACAATGTTCATAAACTGTGGGACAAGTTAAATCCTGTTGACCGAAAGACATTCGAGTTCAACTGCAAGACTTTAAGATGGGAGCAGTACTTTAATACTTACATGAGAGGTTTACGAGTGTACCTTTTGGAGGATCCACTCGACACCTTACCTCAAGGCAAAGTAAAATACCGAAAGTAAGTAATCATTTCCATTCGTCCACTATATAAAATGACAGTTGTAAAATGAATGTATGGCAAATCTTATTTAATTTTTTAAAATTTGTTGCAGGCTTAAGGCTATTCACTACACTGTAAAATACGGTGTTATTCTATTATTATGCTGGCTTCTTCTGCAGTTCCTAAGGTTGATATT